CAGCGCTGCCCAGCCGGCTCAGTTAGGCTCAGAGCTTGGGCAGCTGCAGCTCTGATTGCTACAAAATGATGAGCCGCTTGACCGGCCCCCGGTGCAGGGCATCCTGGCCACTCAGTCCCGCCAGCGTCCTCTCTCCTCAGCAGATTGCCAGTAAATAACGTCCCGGGCTCCGCCGTGCTCCGTAAACACAGAGCGCATGTTGCTCGAGTCTGCCGAGACGCTCGATTATTTATTTAGATGTCAGGGCTGTCTTCACAACGAAATCACAGCGCTAAAGCACTCTCACGGAGCACCTCTGCAGGCCCCACGCGTCTGGTGGTGGCCCCCAGGGCCCAGAAACCGGCGAGAAGGGCCACTGGGAACAGGGCCGCGGACACACCGTCACCCTGGCAGCCGCGGCCGACGTGCCCACCCACGCGACAGACGCTGGCCGCTCTGCTCCGTGCTGTCCGAGCCCTGAGGCGCGGGGCTCCCATGGTCATGCCTGGCCGTGCGGAGTGGACTCGAGTCCCGCTTGCCTGGAAGGCCAGATTCTGGCCCACTGTTCACTCCAGCCTGAGGCTCTGTCTCAAAGGTCTCGTTAGTGTGCGTGCTGGGGGCGAGGTGGCACTGAGGACGGTGTGTGAGCGCATCAGTCTCCGCCGGGCTCGGGGCTAGTGGGGGACGCTCGCTCGGCAAGGGCACACGTGGACGGACACTGCAAAGGGGTCGGTGGACTCGGGCGCGCGCCAGGAGGCCCTCGCTCTTCGAGCAGGGGCTGAGAAGGGCGGTGTGATTTGAAATGAGAAGCTCGCGGGGACTCTTGTGGGGACGAGGTTTGGGGCCTGAGCCTGCGACGGTGGTGCCTTTGGCGGGGTCATGCGAGGGGACAGCAACACTTGGAAGGGGACCTGCGGCCCGGAATGGTGGCGCAGGGGAGGCTGGCAGAGGGTGGTGGGAGGCCCTCATCCCAGCCCTGAGGTGAAGTGATGGCCTTGTCCAGGGAGGCGGGAGGGGCAGATGGACCTTGGGACGAGGGAAGGGCCAGCCGGGGCAGGGCGAGGGAGGTGGACGGCGCGGGGGTGAGCCCAGCCTTCGGCCTTGAGCAGCCGCAGGGAGGGGCGCTGGCCAGGGCAGGCTCCCCAGGGAGGTGCCCGGGAGGCGGGCCCACGCCCACCGCTGTGTCCAGCTCGGGGTCTAGGCTGGTGGTGGACACTGCGGAGCCTGGAGGTGCGCACGAGAGCTGGTTCGCCGCGGAGGAAGGCGCCCAGCAAGTGGGCGGCCTAATTCTAGCTGGCTTCCGACTTTCGGGCGGGGGCGCAGGCTGCTTCTGTTGACTGGCGACTACAGTGAACGTTGCAGTTTCACATTGAGAGGCCTCTGGCCTCTTGGAAGGTGGGCCGCGGGCTGGCTGCCCCTTGGGCAGGGAACGCCTGTGCTCCAGGTTGGCCACAGTCCCCGCCGCCCCCGGGTCCCTCTCAGTGATTCCGGCGGGTTTCTCGTGCCCCCTCCCCTGCTGTGAGTGAAGCGGAAGGGGGCGCAGCACCCCAGAAACAGCTGTCAGGGGCGGCCGG